CCAAATATGAACTTTGCATTCGACCACAATACTTCCTTCATAACTTATGCCAGGTTAAACCGTAACAGCTTTCTTTACAATGCTCCCTGAAATTGTATTCACACCATTTGAAAAGCTTTACAAACTTTTAGAAAGTCGAGTAGTAAAACCAGCGCGCGTAAAATTCCTGGTACACCACTTTTCACAATTTTTGGAAAAATTTTTGAAGCATGACTAATCCACAGTGAAGCTGTAAGCTAAAAGTTCCTACCATTATCCTACAGTAATGAAGAGCGATCGGTGGTTCGCTCCATACGATAAATCTAACAAGGGAAGTTCAGTCAAAGTGGCCTTTCCATATGAGTCTTATACCAGTTTAAAGAGCATTAAGCACTTTACCAAATATGTTTTTATTATCTGCCACACGCTTGTAGACGCCGAATTATGAGTATTTTTCGGAGCAAAAAATGGAAGCTGAATTTATGCAAAAACAATGGTTTACAATCTTTCTGCTCTCACTAGAGCAACGCTAAGTGTGAGGGTATTGAGTAGAAGGTATTTATTGAAACAAGTGCTTTGGTAATTATCACCTGACCATTTGAGCAATTCTGCACGATTTTGTCTTAGTTGCTCATTCACTTTCTCGACATAAAAAACGCTCATAACTCGGCTTCCAGAAGCGCTTCACAGGTGAGGAAGATAGATTAAGAGTCACCGTTCGACGCTCTAAACAATTTTATAGGGACATGTGGAAAGGCAAGTTTGACCAAACACGTTTCCCTTGTAATTTGAAGCCAGCTTTACAAGGTGGTACTTTAAGGTAAGTAAAAGACTTCCCAAGAAGAAAGAAATTGACGATCAAATAGTTTATACATACTTTTAGGACTCCCTGTCTTTTGGAGATTATCTAAAGTGAAAATTCTAATGCGGGCAAAAAAGTGGTAGTTCTTTGTATCAAATGTGAAAAAAAATAGTCAACTTACCTTTGAAAGTCAACATGTTCTAAAATGAGCATCTTATTTAAGTGGCCCATATTTGGAACCTCAGAATTCTTGGTTCACAGGGTTTATTTGGCACGCAAATTACAGAAATGATCTTCTTATGTCTTTGGGGCTCTTTCATTACGCTTACTGTACATATGCAATTGTAGGCTGAGATATCAATGTGCTAATGTTATATTTTGGATAATGTCTATCTGACATTGTTACAAATATCATGTTATCGCTAGCATCGGTATCACCTCGGCAACGGCCCTCTAGCCCTGACCCCTCAATACGACCCCCCCCCCCAGGTGTGGGATGCATGTCACACCCCACGCTTAACTCTGGTGATACCAAAGAAGCTAAACAGAACAGGCTCTTCGACAGCTTGTATATTGAACCAGCATATCTACCACGGGTAGCACCATAAAATACGGATTGAGTTAAAATTTAAAGATAATAAGAAAAATTGCGTGCTTTAAACCTTGTCAGTGGGATCAAAGAATTGCTACGTTGGGTCCGTGTTTCTTCTGCTCATCTGTTCTTGGATAAAAGACCAAATTTTGCTAAAGGTGGTTTCAGTATGGTCACCGTTTGTTACGACTCGAAATTGGTGCTATTTATAGTTCCGAAATAATGGCATACTGACAGACTTCAAGAAAAATTTTTTCAGATATATCGTCTAGTTTCTAATTTCAAGACTCTAGCAGATAAAAGGTACAAGTCAGGCGCAAAACAAATTTTTTGTGCACAATTTTTTGTCAAAATTCTCACTATCTCGTTACCTTCTCCAGCTTAGATGAAACATTTTTATTTAATATCAGGAAAAGAATGTATAGCGATTTCGCATGTGCTTGAATAGAAATCGATCGCATACGACGTAATGCTCAAAGGGGAATTTATTGAATTTTGGTCATTAGGATTGCCAATACGTGCTAATGTGAATCGCGTTCATTTTTGGGCTCACTGGGCCTCCCAACGTACCGGTTAGGCGAACTTAAGTTATCATAGCTGGGGCAGTAGACCTGCCTTATAAACTGCCGGTTTTCTTGACAGCATGTAAAGATCGTGCCGCTGGCAACGAAGGGGCAAGGATCTTATCTTCATGGAGTTATCAGTTCATTGCCTACATCTATTAGGTTGATGCAAAAGAAATGGCCGACTTTCCAAGCCTTTTTTTCAGGGCAACTTTTATCCATCAATACTTCTTCTTTACAATAGGTGTGGTATATTGTCGCGAAGCTGTATTCATGCTCTATCTAATGGTGCTTGAAACGAGCTCTCATCCTCATCTCTTATAAAGTTACTGAGCTTCAAATAAGCGCATCCGAGTTCAGAATTTCATTGCATTCACTTTTCCAGCCAGAATTCAAGCGCGTATTAATGGGGTTTTTCCGAAAATTTAGCTATTGTATGTAATAGAACTTTTCTACATTATGCATACTCAACTGCATTCTTTGAAGTTATCCAGACTCAGATATTGGCGCCTAAACATGGGTAGCTGTTGCGGTTATTTTATGACCCATAATTTTCTTCTGAGGTAGCCAGTCGCTGAAGCTTCGCTCAATTCTGTAAGTGTAGAGCCAGGACATTTATTAGCAGTTTTTGCAAAAACATCCAGCTATTCAGTACGTAGAAAATCAGAAAATTCTATATTCCGGACTTTGAGGCACACTGAAAAAATGTTGAAAAAATTTTAAGTTTCAATTTTTCTTTCTCGCAAACTTTTTTGTCCGAATTCTTTTTATTGTATTTTGTACTACTGGCTTGCGGCTACAAGATAGGCCACTTATCATTCATACTAAGAAACTTTGAAGGAAGTTATGAATTGTCAAAAGCAAGGTTCCCGCAGAAGAACTTTTTTTTGTTTTTTAGTCCGTATTTCTCTTCCCGTTTATGGTTTGAGTACAATTAAGTATGCGCTGTATTGCGAAAGATATGCTGCTTCTGGGGGTCTTTACCGCATTCAGAAATGTGGATCTTTTGGAAAGTTATAGCACGTCAAAGTGAAAATTTGCAAATCGGCCATTCCTTTTGCATCAACCTAATATATTACTATCAACATATTCTCAGCCGTTTCCTATCGTTCTTACATTGTTCTGACTGCGATTAGACCGAACTGATATAATGATGTTTGCTTTCGTTCACATTCGTTAATTTTCTTTGTTCATTCCACTGTATTAGTAAGCTCCTTTTTTGTTTTGTTTTCAATGGAACGCCTTGAGCGTACAAATAAAAATGAGGATGAGATAAGTCGAATTTATTTTTAAGCTTGGTTTTAGGAGTTTCCACTTTTGATTAAAGAAGCCGGCAGTGATCGGATGTTTACGAACAGTTATGAATATTGATTTTTTGACTTTCTATCTTGTTTTGACACACAACAAAAGAGCATGCTCTCTAAATTGATTTGTTTGATTATGCATAAACCTGATATGATTGAAAAGTGCGAAAGCGTAAATAGGAGCTTTGCTCCTATTAGTGATAATTGCGATGTCCGCCTAGAATTCTGCAATCTTTACGTAATAAAAAGTGCTAGAAAAAAATCTAGTTTTCTGCAAGAAAAATGAGCAGTTGCTAGCTAACAATTATGGAGCTAATAATAAACATTCTTAAAAGAATCATTTCACCTTCAAATCTTAGTTCATTATAATATGGCAATGAAGGTTTGGTAATAATTGTAAGTGTGCAATGCCATTTACGACCTTTAGAAGAGATATTAGGTCGGTGCGAAAGTTTTGTTAGTTTTTTGAATCCACCGGCAAACAGGTAGAATAAAGATAAACAAACACTTCAAAGTGTTTTCGATGCAGAATTTCATCCTCTTTCCGGCTGCTATATTACAGAGTAATTTGTTGAGAAACTGCGAGATAATCGCTGGAATTTGCAACCGTTCGTTTTAGCTAGGTTCAACTTTCGTTGATTTTCAAATATTTTAGACCTTTGGGGAAGTTTAAAGTTCAATAGCCAGCAAGTAAGACAAACCTTTCGCCACTAAAGCAACTTTCCCTCTTTTCGGCTACTCTTTTAGAATTTTGCTAAATAATTTCCCAATAGTCTCGAATTTTTGGAGAAACCGCTTAACCTGTTATTGGAACACTAAGGTTTTATCGCTTAATTACTAACCTTACAGGTGAACGAGCGAGTTCCGCTACAAATAATGTAGGTTTTGAAACTTAGGATAAACGCGCACCCGTGAAATTGAAAAATATGCATTCTTCGCAATTGATTGAATAATTTCTTTGCAATTGTCAAGAAAAAACAATCATTAGAAAGAAAAGAAAAAAAGTTACATCAAATGGTACTTGAAGTGTTCACCATTTCATGTTCTACGAGGTGACAATAGGTAAAATTCAAAATTTGGTTACTTCAAAATTATATTTTAATTCTCTCTGTCTCAGTTGGCAAAAGATTTGCGCTATGTGCAGATTATTGAAGCTTCTCCGATAGCCTAATTTCAAAATTTTGAAAACTAGCGAATTTGGACCTGGTGAAAACAAATAGTTGTAATTTTCAGCAATTATCAGCACCCTCTCAATGAATCAAGCTGGGAATATAGCAGCAGGGAAGAGGAGTAAATTCTGCATCGTACAAGTAAAATGTTTTTTATTTTTACTGTGCGGGATCTACGGGTCATTTCAAAAAACATGACAACACTTTTGCACCTACCTAATATACGTGTCCGTAAAGTATGTATACACTGTTTGATCGTTAATATCTTTCTTTCCAACAAGTCTTCTGCCTTGCTTCAGGTACGGTTTTGTAGAGCTGGCTTCGATCACCGATCGCTCTTCTTTACTGTAGGGTTACAGTGGGAACTTCCGACAAGGACTTAGGCCATTGGAGGCCATATTCTGCCTCAAAACAAAACCAAACAAGCCGTAAATTCTTATACTTTGGTAGTCGAAGCCGCCGATTTCGATTGTGAAACTTCCAGTTTACTGTGATGCTTTTTCCAAAGTTATCCAAGGTAAACCGTAATAACCAAGTTCCTAGTATTTGTCAGAAATGTAATTACCCGTCAAAAAAGCTGAAAACACTCACAAGAGCAAGCGAGAGACGAAATCGTTGCAATGAGATTTAAAGCTATTGTAAAATGAAAATGGCGTTCTTTATGATTTCATAATATCACTAGACTTTTTTGTGCATGCATATCATCAATTTGGATGAGAAAAACCCATATAATGTCAAAAATGATAGTTTTTTTTTCGGCAAAAAAGTAAATTTTTTTGATTCTTTTGCTGGACGTACTTTGTGTGATATTGCCGCGCGACGCAATCTCACAGACGCCGTCGGCAAAGATGCCGGCATCTGGACGGGTAGGGGCACGTCGAGATGCCGGCAGGTCGCACTCCACTAAGACACACTATCTCGTGCACTTTCTGATTTGCCGAGAGGCTGAAGGCGAGATGGCTATTCAACGACGAAAACAGATCGTGAACCTGTCGGCAGGTTCATACTTCGGGTCAAATAAATGGCAAACGAAAACATTTTATGTTTTTCCTTTCAATCCCCATACTATTTCGACAGCAAAATAGACTGTAACACAAAAAATAGATGATTAGATTGGCCTGGAGGTCCCCGGAGGCATTTTGAGATTTCAGGTACCTCGGGTCGACATCAGGGCGAGCTGAAGGCATGAGATGCCGGCAGATAGGATGGATTACTATGGGCCCTGGTATGCTCGTATCCGAGAAATTTCTTACAATCTATATTCATTCTATGTGGCAAAGCAAGCTCCACAGAACTACCAGTAATCCACCCTACTCGCAATCCTCGTAAAATCTTTGAGCTGAATTTTATGAAATAATAAATGTTATTATTGTAGTAACAAACGTTTTCTTCTTCGCGCTCTTGAGTTCAAACAAGCATTACTTTTTCCAAGCTCTTTATTTTACACCAAAAAGACTCCTTGTGCTCAGAAAATACGTGGCAACTTCACTTCACTGATTTCATGCTTTTTCATGTGTACCGATCGTTTAGAAATAAATGAAGCTTGAAATAACGTTTTTGATTTGCTGTCATACATTAAGTCCTGTAAACGTACAAAAACGATATTGCTCTCGGACTTTGGACTTTGTGATTTTTGAATATATTCGAACATTCGATTATTCATTTTCAATAGTTATCCGATTATTCGACAATTTTGTGCAAGCGAATAATTGTATGACTCTAGTGCTTGTCCTCTCTCGCGTCCTTTCCCTTTCCAGTTGTTTCCCTGCATTTCCACGTCATTTTATTGCAAGTTGGTCTAGATCACGTTTTTGCATGAATGCGGCTTCAGATATCGTTTGTTCCCCAGCAAGGTTCCCATAGGTACCACGTCATCTCACTGCCTTTCGCACTTTTGAACGTGTTAAGCTCGGATACTTCCGTTGAAATCTCAGGAGAAACGTGTCAAAAAGAGCGAAAGGCAGCGTCGCACCACGTACGCAAGCCAGGGCCCGGCACGAGGTCGGCAAATGACAAGCTGGAAATCGTTTTGGGGCCAAAAAGCAAAGGGGAAATCGTTTTTGCGGGGTCCGGGGCGGAGCCCCGGAAAAAAAAATTGATGGTTACGATGGCAAAGCTGAGCCCTTCTCATCTGGACTGCATAGAATGAAATATCATAGCGTTACAACTTTATCAGAATGTCTACTATGCAAAAAAGAGCAGCGAATAGCGTTACACTGACTCTGAGTGGTCAATTTTCCACAGCCGTTGCCTCACTCTGCGTATCTGAGCATGTCATATTATCTCAACTTACCTCAATCAATAGAGGCACAGCAGAGTTCGCGCGCGTCACGTCGCGCCTTCGCTAACTGCCGCGCGCGCGACGTCGTTTAAACGATGCTATTTGTCACAGCATACATGACTAGTTCTCAATGTATGCGTAACGATATGACACTAAATTTTGTAAGCGAACGGAGAGAGGCTAGTGGAAACAGAGTATGAAAAATTATGAAAAACTTATGTGAACGGAACGAGTAATAAGCATTCCGAAAGTTTTGCAAAACTGGTAAATGAAGATGTGAATTCAAATGGCTCGTTTACAGCGCACAGATGACGTTATGGTATGAAACTTGGTAGGTAGATGAAAACAGGCCTGCAGGGCTTAACATAGAAGTTTCATTGAAAAATTATGTGACTGAATGTTGTGGCAAGCTTTTGTCTGGAAATTTCCCACTATCAAGAAAATGGAAAAATGGCTCGTTTGCAACGCAAAGAAAACGAAATCGCGCGGGACTCAATGTGTATATCCGCAATAGGACTAAGTAATAAAGTATGAAATATTATGAAAAACTTATGTGAATAAAGCGCGTGCTTAACTAATTTCCAAATTAGGTCGGCATTTGCCGACCTAATTCCCACCTGAGGTCGGCAAAACTCTCAAATCACATAATTTTTTCAAAATTTTTACGTAAATTTACTGTACGCCTAAAGATTAGTACATATTGAAAATTTGGTTCCAAACCTTCTCCTCCCCTCATTGCTAGAGGCAAAAATAGCCTCAACAGCCCCGTTTCCCAAGGAGGAAAGCGCGCTCCAAATCGATCGGCGTCGCTGAGTCCTATAACAGCGTCACTCTGATATTTCATCGCTTCTATACTTCTTCTACTTCACTTCGCATCTTGCATTGCTCTTTCGTATTTTATTCGTATTCCTCTTACGTAACTTTCGTGTTTAGAGAATATTTCCAACGTGAGGCTCTTGCGTGCGGTGATTGTCGTCTGGAGGAAGGAAGCGACGACGATAGCTTTTACCTGCAGCAACCTTTACCTAATTCTTACTTACAGCAACTCTCTCTAGCGCTGAAGGTAGTTTTCGGAGCTTATTATTCGTCATCGCATTTACTTCACCATTCAGTTCCTTCTCATTGATCGACCCTGCCTTCTTCGATGGCAGGATTATCTATTTATCCCAATAGATCGTCTGAAAGTATGCTAGATACTCCAAGAAGTGAAGTCAGCCGCGACTTCGAGGTATAGTTCGTTTCTAGTGTTTTATCAGTTTTATCGTTCTTGAAGTTTTGCCTTTTTTTAAACTTTTTCGTCGCTTGATGTTGTTATTAGCTTGCCGCAGTTTTCATTATAAACCGCGATAATTGTAGCTGAGCCCAACAACTTTGATTATAAGAATTGTTGCCTTAGGCCTCGGGCAGAGTTTACGCGATTTGATCGTCGCGATTCAATCGCGACCAGACAACTGTCACGAGTTCATTGCATGTCGACCAGCTTGCATTTCGGTTGTGATACCTTTCCAGCCCGAAATTTTTGAATGTAACATGGAAATGAATGCTGATCGCGGCGATTGAATCGCGACGATCAAATCGCGTAAACTCCGTCTGAGCCCTTAGGTATACGCTGTACTTTGCAAGCTTTCTTCATTGTGATTACCTTGAATGTGCAATGCAGTTGAATGTGCGCATTTCCCAAATCCTGCATGTTGTTAGAACATTGCTTACAAGAAAAAGGTGATCATTCTCGTTTACTAGATGGTGTGCGGAATTGTCTTTTTGCAGTTTTGTAAATGATCGACTTCTATGACGAGAATGGTGATTCTGGAATGAACACAAGTGGAGATTCTTCGGAACAGCCTGTAAGGAACGAAGCTTTTGACGAGGTAGTGCAAATCACATGTACTTTCGCTTTGCATTACTCTCTTTCGTGTAGCTTCTCACCTTCCATTTTTCCTTATCTCTGTGTTTGTTAGGTGCTACGGGTTCCAGAGTTAGGTGCTACAGGTTCCAAATCTCGCAATCTTGCAATCTCAGAGAGTTAGGTGTTACAGGTTCCGAATCTCGCGTACCAGGTAAAATGCACTACGTTTCTGCCTACCTCTTCGCCCTTGCTGGTAGAAATGAACAGCCCAAGGTAAGCAGCCAGAAAAGTTTGATTAAACAGTCTTGAATTTTCCTTTTTAGCTTGAAGATTTGGAAAACATCCTCGGAGCTGTCGGAGTTGACATCGATGTTGAAGCAGCCAAGCTTGTCATTTCACGCCTAGAGGGCAAATCTGTTGGCGAGGTTATTACTGAAGGATCGTTTAGTTTGGTTTCAGCTCTTTTCAAACTCAGTTTCACCTTTCGTTGTGATTTCTTTCTTGTTGTTTCTTTTTGCTTCTTTTTTTTCTTTTTCGGAGTTTTACATACATTTTATACTACATAGTATTTGTTCAAATCATGTGCACGACATTTTCTTACTCAGACACTTGATGCATGTGGCGCGCGCGTGTTAATGGCCAGCAGCGCGGCCCGCGCACCCAATCTGTGGGCGTTGCCATGCACCCATGTTGATGGGTTCTTCTTCCTGCTTGCTCTTCTTGCTCATCCAGTAGAAAGAGGCGAATGGCTTTGAGGCCGCGCATCATTTTTTATGGGAAATTGTGTACAGAGTATTGAAACTGAGAAGTAACGCAAATTCGAGCCGTTTGAAAGTAGCAAAAACAAACGGTGAGGCTCAGTAAAGTTCAAAAGCATATCACTCTTGAGGAAGCAAAGCAGGTGCTGAAATTTTCCGCAGAGATTGACAGCATTGCCTAAACTGGGCACTAAATTTTTTGCCTACTACATTTTGAAGTAAATTGTTTAGAAACGAAAAGTTTCTTTTCGCTAGAGGTACAGAACGCTACTTAATTTCGCCGGAGCTTCACTTGTCGTGATATTTCCCATTTTGCAAGGATCTTTTCTGGAAAAAGTTGTAGTTATCTCAAATTGGGCAATAAATGTGCATTTGTCATGATCAAATTCGAAGCTTGCTAGATAAACGTTCAAACGGTTTTTTAAAATAGTTGGCGTAGTACCATCTAATTCACGAGTAAGTGTCAGTAGAATGTTGCAACTTCCTACTCTGTTGGATATTCATCAGTAGAGCTAGCGGTCATTCTTACTAAGTGTGAGTTGATATCTGTTCATTGGCATTATTTCATTCATCGAATGTTGCTGATTTTGAAGATAAAAGTGTACGCAAACTGCTTTCCTCCTCCAGGTGCATTAATTTTAGCGATGCGCACTATCAGTGAGAAGAGAACTGTTGAGATTAGAGGAGTGGAAACTTCTGTCATACACAACGCCAGATTTTCAGACAATCACCCGTAATTGTGTCGTGTATCAAAGCTTTTCTGAATTGTTTGGACGAGTCAACATGAAGAGTACGGAGTAGATCGGGTATCAAGCAAATAAAAAGGTTGTCAGTCTTTTATGCTCCTTCGATATCCACTTTTGTCATACATTGTTTTAGGAGGAGGCATATATGAAAATGGGGACATTCGCATGAGAACCTCGGACACAAAGCTATTGGACTTACACCAATTTTGATTTTTTCATGCTCAAATTTCCTTACCCTCATCGATAGATTTTTCTGCAGCTCCTTCTCTTTTTGATCACATAGTATATTGACTGCAGTGATTTTCGCGACTACGAGAGGAGAAGGAGGAAAGATTGGCTTGGTTCGAGCACTAGACTCGATTGCTGTTATCACACATATTGGCCTTCAGATTTTTGAAGGCTTATCATCTCATAGTCGCAGCCTTGAGGGGGAGGGGGGGGGGGGGATTTACGCTGCATAGGAGTTTTGTTGTTATTACCTTATTATTAGACTCCCAAGAATGATCCGGACAGGTTTTTTCTTATTTTGTTGCGAATTGATGGCAGTTTTTCAATAAAATAATTTGTTTTTGCTTAAGTGTTGCTTGCACAAGCACAAGGTCCCGTTTTTGGGGTCAAAGAGGAATTCGTAAAAAATTTTTGGGTCAAAGGGGAATTCGTTTTCGAAAACCCCTTTTGCCGACCTCGTGCCGGGCCCTGACGCAAGCAGGTTCACATGGGAACCTCTGTAGGGCGCAGACGGTATGTAATTGCGAAACCAGCTCATTGAATCTATTGGATCAAAGCTTTATGAAAATGCTTATTTAGGGTTCAAAAGCACGCGAGCCTTTAGTTGAGTCTTGGCTTTTCAAATCTGCCCTTCATATCTTAGAAAGCTCCTTTGCACAATGTTTGACAAGAGCACAAAAAAGCTCGAAAATGAACACTATTTCGACTCAAATATGAGAAGCAGGAGTTTGTGCACAAGTCTAAGCAGGGAACAATACCTGGTGACCTCGGTCATTCATAATGGTTTGTATATCAAAAAATGCGCCTTTCAATGCTGGTTCGAATACTGTTTTCCATATGTGCGAAACGAGAACCTGGATGGAATTACAATTATTTTTTCACAAATGATTTGCCCTACTGCAGAGGGTGAAAATCATTAATAAAAATTTTTCTTTCCTCTTCAAATGCTGAGTATGATTTAGATAGGTATAAATACAACGTACACCTTTCAAGATTCTCCTTAATAGCTTCTAACGGTAAAATAGACCAAATTGAGTGATTTTAATCACCTAAAAGTACGCAAATTTTCTACGAAAAAATTCATAACTACCTTCACATGATCGTTTAGCAGGTTTCGAGCAGATTTAGAATCAGCGTTTTGAGATACACCGTATGATATACAGCACATACCAAATGGCCGGGGTCACCAAGTATTTTCCTTGTAAGTGAGAATGTTGCTGGGAAACTGGGAGTTGCAAAGAGATAGGCTTGTGCCAGTGGCGGTCCCGGGATTTCGGACCGGGGAGGGACAAAAAAATTTTTCAAATGAAGGTGCGTGGCGCTAGCCACGCACTCCGAAAATTTTTTTTGGGTGCTTTCTCATTTTGCGGGTCCCCAACCTCTAAAATCTGGAACAAGGGGGCGTTTCGTCAGCCACGCCCCCGAAAAAAATTTTTTTCAAAGGGCCTAATTGAATTTTTAAAACTTTCAAAAATTATTTCAATTATTTACAAAAATAAACAAGTCGTTTGCACATTTTTATAACCCAGGTAGGTAAGTTTCAAAAATTTCGCGACCCATTCTCGGGGGCGTGTAAACTTTGATCTAGTGGCGGTCCAGAGGGAGGCTTCTAGAACGGGTCCTGACGGCAAAAAAATTATTTACAAGTTGAATTTTTGAAAAATTTGAAAACTTATTTTGAGTATTTATAATCAACGAGTCACTTGCACATTCTTATAACCTGTATCAGTAACTCTTAAAACTTTGTGATCCATTTTTGGGGGGGGGGGGAGGGGAGTCGGACCGCCACTGCCATATAAATGTGACTGTGTATTAATAATTGGGCCATGCGCAAAAAGATGACGAAAAAAGTACCAAAGAATTTTTTTTCACTAAGATCTTCGAAAGCCTCGCTTTGGAATAGAACAAATGCACTGCATGCTTTTTTGGCTTTTTTATACGCGCAAACGATCGATATGCATGAATACCTCCTGCGCTATAGAATTATTTCATTAATTACTGTTTCAAGTTTTTTCCGCTTCACCAGTTATCTCCCATCAATATTTAGATAAGAAAACCTCTCACTAAGCGAAAGATGTATCTTGCATATATCGCGACATGTTCTGCCTGTCCATGACAAACATAGAGCTAGTCAGTGAAAAATGCGGCCTCCACCAGCGAGTCCCTACGAATCGCAGTGCGCATGTACCCGTTGTTAATATTTCATTGGGCGCAATAGGATACTGTAACTTGGCACTGATCCTTATCGACGTATTTATGAAAGCATTTGGTTCCCCTAACATATCGGGGTATTTTTTGAATGTATCACATAGAAGAGAGAAGACACATTTACTAGAATACGATCCACCGATGAATCGTACGTTTTTCATGAAACGTCGTGGGAATTTATTACAATCTTTCGGACTTTCAGGTAAAGCTTCAACTAGGGCACCTTTTTGACCTGACGGCCTACCGAAAGCCGTAGTTTTAACGTTGTAGAAAATGCCATGGTAGGAAAAAAACTGAATGTGATTAGAGCGGTTAAGGAATTTTTTTTTTGAGAAATTCAATGAGGAAGTAATTCAAAGAGCTCTTCGGGAGCTAAGATATGTTATCAAAGCATGGCGCATTGATTTAATTGACGATCCTCTCTACGATTTGAGAGTTTAAGTTCGTATCGGCTCTTAAAATATCAGTTGGCCATAAACAACTTCAAGTTTGGCTTTTCTTTTTGAAAATTTTGTGTGGGGAATAGTTCAAAACTTCTTCTATCACATACCAACTATCTAGAATTTCTGATTACACTAAGAAACACTTACTCTTACTGAGGGTGAAATTCCTGAAGCTATTCTGCGATTTTTAAGCTTCGTTTTCATGTTTTGGAGGTACATAGGGAACAGTGATTTAGTATTTGGATTTAGACAAGTTTTCCTAATCAGCGAGTATCGATACATATTTTGGGCTGCTGCTAAAAAATCTTCTGCTAAAAAATCAAATTTTCTTATCTTTACTTTCTCAACATGGCGAATTTCTTTTTTTGAGAAATAAATTCCATTCAAACAGATTCTATGTTCCAATTCACACTGAAGTGCTCTCTTCAGAGATAATTCCTTCTATAAATTAAATTTTTTTTTTGCAAATTTGAAAATCACTCATCCATAGTTTCAAAAAAATACGATTTGTTCAAAGCTCAATAGAATGATGTCACTCAGAATTCCTTCCACTTTTCTTTTTTCATTTCAGGATTGATGTCATAATGTTACTCGCTGCCAGTAATCATTCACGTTTTTCTGATAATCACAAAAGATGTACTGATGATGCACACTGATCTAGAAGGAGTTGCACGATCAGGCTTTTCGGTTCTAAAAATAATTGGAGACAGATTGTAGGGCAGCGCCTAGAATATCAAGGCAAGAAAACTTCGTCGACATTGGTACTATCCAAGTTCCAAAGCACTGCAATCTGTATCGTGATAAATTCCACAGAAAATTGTTAGATTGACCATCATTATGTGATTTTCCAACTCTTGAGGCCACAAATTCTCAATTTTTGAGCCTGCAGCAACAAATCAAGTTTCTAATGACATCATAATGCGCAAATCAGTATATATTAACACGTTGACGACGAGCTGTTTTTTTGAGGTCTGCCCCTGTGGACGAACCGTTTCCGGGCCTCTTTACAGCCGGCTGCATGT